ACCCCCATTTTTTGCGGGTTGGGAGGGGTAGAAAAAAAATTTTGGGGGGAAAAGGGGGGGGGAATTTTTTCCCGGAAAAATCCCCCCCTTAAACAAAATTTTATTTTTATTTTTTTTTTTTAGGGTTTGGGGAAAAACCCCCGGGGGGTGGGGTTTTTTGTTTAAAGGGGAGAATTTTCAAAAAAAATTTTCCCCTTAACGGGTTTTTTTTTTTTTTTGAATTAAAAAACCCCCGGGGGGGGGGGGGTTTTTTTGGGGGGGAGTTTTTTTTTACCCCGGGGGATTTTTCCAAAATTTGGGGAAAAACACCCCCGACACCCCCCCTTTTTTTTTCCCTAGGGGGTTCCGTTTCTTTCACCCCCCCCCCTTTTCCGGGGGCCTAAACCCCGGTTTTCCCTTCCCCCTTTTGCCATTTTTAGCCCCCCCCCCCCCCCCCCCCGCGCGCGCGCATGCGTCGCTGCTAATCTCATACCCCCTCGTGTGCGACTGCCACTACCGAAAAAACAGAGACAACGAGCGTCGCGGTGATCTCCGGCAGAAGTTGGAGAGAGCGCGCCTGACGTGCCCGCTCTTCGACACGCGGCGGTGGGTCCGCGACGCGGAAGACGTGCTGCGACAGGCATGGGAGAGACACGAGGCCGGACTGCCACCGGCGCACTGCAGCCGTCATCGCGTCAGTGTCGAGGGCGCCGAACGACGTGGTGGGGGGGAGGGGGGGTGCAGTTAGCGCAAACGCTTTGTCAGAACGTCTAGTTTTGGTCGAGGTTGGCGTTCTTTTTTTATTTTACCATCAATAGTTCCTATTTGTATTAGGGTTGTGCTTTTATTTTTCTCACACATGTGGCCGCGAAGCTAACTTTGGTTTTTGAGCAGGGGTTCTCGACCGGGTACACAAATGGTGTCCAAGTTCTTAAGAGTTTTGAGGTGTTCGAGGCTGTATATACCAAGTTTTTGAGCGCGGGCGCAAACTGTAAGTGTAGAGAGGGAAGAGACGCGAAAAAGAGCCACTTGGTTGTACGAATTGCTGACTTGTTTGTGATGAAGTAATATTTACGATGAGGGGGGAAGAATGCGCGGCGTTGGGACCGGGGGCGTTCCAGATGGGCGACAAAGCTTCCTTTCTTGCTCGTTTCCTGGTATGGTTAGATTCCTTTTGGTTGGGTTCCTGTGTCTGGTTTACAGCAAGCTGCCATCCGGTCCTAAACTGGAGCAAAGATCTGGGGGCGGGAAATGTACTGTCTCTTTGGTAGTCACAGCAGTGGTTGAGTGGTTTGTGAAGTGTGAAGTGTAAATTGGAACGGTCTACAGTCCTTTGTTTCTTTCCCTAACGAACGTTCGTTGCCATGCTCTCCCGCACAAACAAAGCAGAGCAGACCAACGATTCTCCGGCACGGGGCTCACTGCAGAATAGTGCACCCACGGCGGGCATGATGTCTGATTTCATGTTTTGCGTCAGTTGCGACTTCACAATGAGGTCCGCTGCGTGCATAGAAGTCACGGTGTGGCCATCTATAAAAAAATGTTCAGGGGGTGTGACACCTTATGTCATCTACTCTGTGTACAGAACTCTTTGTCGTGATCGGTGGGCGAGCGTGTCGCGGTGTGCGCCCTCGACTTCATTAACCGCTAAAAAACTGGAAAGCTTCAGACAGGCAACGCGACGATACTCACTCGTCGAGTTGCACAATCATCTGTACCGAAAGAGGAGTACGGCAATGCCCTCAACAGAGTCCACACTGTAGAGTGTGTTTCACATTTGCTTGATGTTGGCTGTCTTTAGAGAGGTTATTTTCGTCTTTTGCTTCTGCCAGCCTTCTGTGTGACAACGGGTTAGAGTAAACGGCACAATTTTAATGCTGTGAGCGCTGATTTGAGTGAAGAAAAAAAAAAATGACTTGGACGAAAAAATAGGATTCCCTAATCCCGACCCCTCGTCAAGCACCTCTCTAGACCTCTAATGGTGAAATCAACAAGGCTGTGAGGCACGCAGGCAGCCCTGGTCAATCTGTGGCTGTGAGTGTATGTGCGCCAATACAGTGCACTTCCCAAAATCTGCAATCAGTAAGCTAGCAAATCAGGATTCGTGGCGCGGGACTGTCAACAAATCTGTTTTTTTTGTAACCGTCACATCCGACAAGCGAGGCCGCCTACAGTAATAGTCGGCAAGTTCATGGAGATAGACTTGGTGTACCGTAGCGGAAACTTCCTGCTGCGTGCCTTGTCCGGCCTCCCGTCCAACATGTAGTGTATCTCGAAGAGCTTGAAGACCGGCAGGCTGATAACGAGGCCTCTACAGCTGTAGTAGAAGCTCTACTTCGTCCTTAACGACGTCGTGAAGTATAGTCATCGGCACACCGGAGACCGCAAGACCGCAAATTACTCCGCCAAATGGGGCCGAAGAAAAAGGCAGCGAAAGCTGCAGCAGCGCCTGCGAAAGCTGCAGCAGCGCCTGCCGGTGGGGCTGCTGGGCCAGGGGTGGGAGGGACCGAGACGTCCACTGCTGCCACTTTCACTCCTGCTGAAGCCAAGAAGTTGGCGAAGCTCCTGAAAGCCTCAGACCGCGGCAAACGCCTGGATGCCATCGGTGTTGTGTCAGAGAACCACAGATACATCGCTAGCGGGGGATGTCTGCTCCCGCTCCTGGAGTCTGTTGTGGCCAAGAAGAAGATGGAGGACGTAGTCCTGGCTGCGTCACAGGTGCGAAACAACGTTACAGCCATGCCGATTCGTCGTTATGCGCTGTGCCTCTTGTCGAGACTATCGCGGCTAGAGAAGGTCTCGCGTCGTAGGGCGTACGAAACTATGTACTACTGTAGAGTAAACTACTGCTGTAAGTGGTGATAATGCCGACCCCCCCCCTCGCCCGTCTTTGCCCACTCTTTCTGTACCGCCGATACTCTATTGGTGATTTTAGTGGTCACCTCTGCCGATTGGCACGGTGACTACTGCACATGTTTCTTTGGCAAAGGGGCACAAATTCTCCCGTTGAGGAACACAGCTACTGCAGTACATCGAGCGTTTGCCAACGAGAGGCTCATGATAGGACATTCGCAATGCACCTGCGAAATATAGTCTCAACTAGCATGTTTGCGCAAGCGCGTGATAACCATATCGACATCTTATACAGTTGCCATCCAGCAATCACATCCGGTGCTCCCGATACCCGCAAAAGGTTACTGCGCCCTACTCTCCCCCTCGCTGCGACGCAACAATACGAAGGGCAATTTACGATGCGCCGTCTTCGTCTCAACTCTCATAGCATCCTCCCAGTACTCTAGCCTACTCGGACCCAGTACTCGCGGTGTACGGGAATTCCATGAACACATGTACCACAGGAATCGCTACAAGAGGGCCTGTTTTTGTCTAGCTTTTTCTATCCTTGCTTTTTGCGGCAATACCCAGCGTACGCACGCCGGTGAAAATGGCTCTCCCCTCTTCGCGCTCCCGGCAAGAACAGGTGATCGTCGACTACCTGGTTGGACGAGACCCCGGAGGAGACCCGACGGTGGTGACCGATTCCGCGATGGCAGCCCTGCAGGAGGCAAAGAAGAAGCCGGCAAAGTACAAGCTGGCGGAGGTGCTCACCAACCTGGTGCTTAACCCGGACCAGCAGAACTCTTGGAACGCCGTGCGGAGTCTGAGGTCCATTGCTGCCGCCGTGGTGAGACTTTGTTGTTGTTTACGTTGGGTGCAGTAGTAGCAGCCGTGTATTTTATTGCCGAATGAATATCTTCGAGCTTCGCTCCCTCCCCCCATCCCTGCCCCCCTCCTTCCATCCCCTTCACGCTCGCTCACTCTGCCTCTTCTCCTCTCTCGCTGCTGTCTTTACCTCTCTGTCTCCTACACAACGTTTCTCCTTCTCCACCCTCCCTCCGAACATTGTCGCTGGCAGCACTCGCTTCCGGCTGGCAGCTCGCAGCACGCGTCATTGGGCGCCATGCTCCTCAAACCGGGGAAGCCCGTTGAGCGGCTGTGCGGCTACCTCGTCGCGCAGGAAGCCCAACAAAGCACCCCCGTTGAGACCCCGGAGGCGAAGAAGGGGGCTGCTGCCGAGGGGAGAGATCCCGTTGTCCCCTGGCCGGTGGTGCGCCTCCAAGTCATGGACACTATCGGAGTGATGTGCGGGGTCAGCGACGAGGCGGTTCAGACCGTCGTTTCCACAGGCACTGTGCGTTGCGTGCTGGGGGTGTTGAGGTAAGCTCATTCAGCGCGGGGGGTGATGTGTAGCATACGCATATGTAGAGGGAAATGCACCGAAGGACAAGGACAGGATGGGTATTGCAATGGAGGGTACGTATCGATAGCAACGAATGTCCTGCCAGGCAGTGGGTTTTGGGGCATTGGAGTCGAAGAAATGTGGCGATACACAAATGCGTGCTAGAGTGCAACCAAGTTTGACTACTATGGACAAACAAGATGAGATCGCCACAATGCACCAGCGTTTGTATCGTGCAGTGCCCCACCCCCACCCCCGTCCCTTCATCCAACTGCCTCGTAGTATAGACGACTGTTTTTTCAGTTGCCGAACCAATTTGCCGCTCGGAATCTTTGCACTTTGTTCAGGTCTATCACGGAGAGCGAAGCTCCGGACATGGCACTCCTCACTTCCACGCTTGTCATACTGTTCGCAGTGGCGAAGGCAGGCGGGGGTGGGATAGCACCCGAGGTCGGGATAGCCGAGGGCGACATCGCCTCGGGTTCATCACCGGGCGTGGCGATGGCAGCAACGGCTGGGGTTGGTGCTAGCAGTGGTGGTGAAATGCCGTCTGAGCTTGCGGCGTTGGCGGAGGGAGGCGCGTGGGGTGCCGTCTACGATGCCCTCAAGGGGCCTTGCATGGCGAGGGCAACCGAGCTGCAACAAGCAAGCGCAACGGCGGGGGGGGCGAAGAAGGGGGCAGCAGACGCGGCGGCGGCAGTCTCAGCCGACCTGACGGGTTGCTTGGACAACATGGCTCGCTGTGCTGAGGTGAGAGGTCGGTTCAGGGCAAATGGGGTATAGATGAGAGGGGGACGCTTTGGGGAACTTATTTTGGCGTCGTACAGGAGTGTTTGATGGTCCTAGACAAGGTTATTCAACGCGCCTGAATACACGTCATGTCGGGAAAATTCAGTCGTACACGTCTTTTCTCCTCGACGAATGGCCTCGATCTACAGCCCAAGGGACGTATCGCTCCAACGAACAGACAAACCTATTGGAGCTAGTAGGCCACGCCTGCGTTCATGAGTCTTTGGTTCCATCAACAAGTTTTGTTGTGCTTGTCCCCGTGCAGGTCCTGAGGGTGATGGCCATGACTGGCGCGGGGCTGGAGGAGGAAGGTGCCCTAGAGGCGGGAGTGGCCGCAATGAGTTCGATCCTAGGCATGGAGGGGCTTCCCCGAGAGCAGGCTGCCGTGGCCAACCTCATGACTGGGATGGTGAAAGCCATGGGTTCCATCGCCTGCTTGAGTGAGGTGTGTTGTGTAACAATTACGGCTGTTGGCTGTTGGCTGTTGGTCGCATTTCGGGAACAAACAGTTTCCAGCCGGTTCCCCTCCACTCACTGAAAGCCTTGAGCACATGCCCTTCGACCGCAGTTTTTCCTGGAAAGGGTAGTCTTTTTAGTGTATTTTCTATCATGGAGCCGAGAATAACCAAACGGTTCACTGAAGCGTTGCACACGCCAGCAAGGCGATTGTCCCGCCCTTCACGTTCATCCTTTGAGCCGCGAATAATTTTGATTTGGAGCGGTGTGGGAGTCTACTTTCCAGATGAGAGAGCATTCCTCAAAAACTCGCATCCTCGCTTGATCCCGGAGGGTGAACTAGACCAGAACTTGTGGTGGAACACGCTCGCCCGCATGCCCACGTTTGCTATCATAAGATGCCATACTTGTGAACGAACCTCCAATATTGTTCATCTTCTCCGGCTTTGCTGAAAATCCTCCATTTCTGTCCCCCTCGCAACGACAACAACAGAGCAACCGCATCAAGGTGTGTTCCGCTGGGGCGGCTGCTAAGGTGCTCGCTCTCATGGCTCCCCCGGACCCTTCGGCCTCCGGCGTGGGGGGGAGCTCGTCGCCGCCAGACACCCCCCACGGCCGCCTGACGCGCAAGACGGCGGAGAAGTGCCTGCACCACCTCGTCGTGTCGAGGGTAACGTGGCTGGCCGACGACCGCGCTCTGTGCGACACCAGCGCGCCGCCCGCGGACACGCCCGAGTCTTCCCAGGACATTCCTCCTCCTTCCGGCAATGCGGCAGGAGCAGGAGCAGGAGAGGGGGGTGATAACGAAAAATTCGGAACCGCTGAGACGGCAAGCCGCCCGAGAAGAAGCGGCAGTTTTGCAGCCGCCGCCGCCCCGAATGACCCTCCTCCGGCGTTGGGGCCGGCGTACCTCTCGGTCGACGCCGTCCTTGCCGCCGCCACCGCCGGCTCGATAGACGTGCGGTGCCGCGCGATCCGCCTGCTGTCGCGCCTCATGTCGTCGCCCAGGTGCGCGTCGGCCCTTGGAGTGTCCGCCGTGCCCGCTCTCGGCCGTCTCATCGAGTGGTGGCTGCAGCCGAAGAACGGCCCCGAGGCTCAGCGCACGCCCCGCCCATCGGAGCCCGCCGCAAGCGAGGGCGGGGGTGGAAAATCGGCCGCAGGGGCAGCAGCAGCAGGAGGAGGGAAGAAGGGTGCCGGGGGCAAGGCGGGGGCGAAGGAGGCGGCTGCCGCGGCGGCGGCGACGGCGGCAGCGGAGGCGGCCTCCAAGAACGAGCAGGCCGCCAAGGACGAGGTGGCGGCGGCGGCGGCGGCGCGGGCCGCCGCGAAGGAGCTGGAGGAGTCGGACAGCACGAGGGTCCTGCGAGACGAGGCGCTCGCCTACGCCCTGACGGTCATGCTCAAGCTCGCCGAGGCCGGGCGAGAACAGCGAGCGGCGATCGGAGAGAACGCCACCGTGGAGCTCCTCGCGGGCGTCCTGAAGAGTCTCCCGTGCACGCCGGAGGAGTTTTACGCCAACGGCGGTGAACACCTTGGCTCGATGACTGTCTGCGCGGCCGTCGCCGCTGGTACCGCACGCGGCACCAAGTCTCCGACAATTCCTGCTGCTGCTGCTGTAGATGAACCAGCCGTAGTGACCGCAGACAACGGCGGTGGCAATATTGGCACCCACCACGCCCCCTCGCATGCCGCCGACGACAGCCTCTTGGCGGCCCCCAAGCCCGACACGACCCTCGACCTCAGCCTTGCCCACCGTCGACCGAGCTCCGGCGGCAACCCGCGGAAGCTCTGCTGCTGGCGGGGCGCCAAGAGCCGCGACCCAGAGGTCCCGCTGTTCAGTCCTCTCGACTGGGGCTGGGATTTCGAAGTAGGAGTTTCTCAGGTGCCGGTGCAGCCGGGTCTGGTCTTGCGCGCGGCGGCGCTCCGTGTGCTACTGGCCGTGGTGGACGGCTACGACCCGGCTGTTGAGGCCACCGCCGCCGCTGAAGCAGCTGCGTCGGCGCCCGCGGCAGGGTCGAAGGGCGGCGCGGGTGCCGCGGCGGCGGCCGCCGCCGAGACGAGCGCCAAGGCAGCCGCGCTGAGCGGCGGGAGCGGCGCGCGGACGGTGCTTAAACACGTCCTGCCTGTCTGCCTGGATCTGTTGTCGGTCGACGTTCGCCACGCGGGACGTGACGACGACGGTGTTGAAGGCGAAAATCGTGGCGGAGGAAGCTGCAGCAGCCGAAATCACGGGGAAAGCGGAACGGAAGCAGATAGAAAGACAGCTTCACAACCAAAAGAGCAGCAGCAGCAGCAGCAGCAGCAGGGGCAGGATGCCGACAATGCCGGTGGGCAGTCTTTCAACAGCAGCCTGAGTGCCGATTTCCTGTCCGGGAGGCCCGTGTCTCCTTCCGAGGAGCTCGTCCACAAGGAAATTCGAGTGGCTTGTCTGAGGCTGCTGGGTTCCCTCTTACGACTCGGAGGCACCGCTCGAGAGGGGTTCCTGTCCACGTCCGCCACCCACCGCGATGGTGGGTTCACGCACATAAAGGAACTTTGCGGTAGTCCTCGCGAAGAAAAGGAAGAAACCGCGCCGCCAGCCCGAAAAACGACCGGCGCAGCCGCTGCGGAAAAGAACAACGCCGGCGGTGAGAACGCGGGGGGATGGGTCAGACCGGAATCGTTTCGCAGCTGGAACCTCAGCGCCGGGGAAGGCTGCGAACCCGCGTCGCTACGGGACTCCCTGCCGTACGTGCGGATGATCTCGATGTTCATGCTGCCGCTCCGCAACCCAGACGCGCCGATCACCGACATCGTCGCCGCGCTGGTCGCCCTGAAGCGGCTGTGCCGAGAGAACGAGCACGAGACCGGCGGGACGCAACCCGAACCTCTTCCCCAATCCGCGGAGAACGACGAATCGGTGCCTCCGCTGCCGTCGAGTAGGGAAGGGACGGCGGGAGTGCTTGTCGACACAATTGCCGGAGTGGCGGTCAGCATGGGCGCCCTCGTGCCTCTGATGTCGATATGGGGCTGCGCGCTGGCGGCCGCCGGTTCCGCCGCCGACCTCGCCCCGGAGGAGACCGGCATGGTCAACGAGTGCCAGGCGCTGATCGACTACCTCATCCGCAGGGGCCACGCCAGGGAGGAGTTCTGGTCTTCCCTCCCGTCCCTGGGGCAGATCGCCGAGACCAAGGCGGCCGCCGCGGAGGCCGCGGCGCCGAAGAAGGCCCCGCGGAAGTCCAAGGGATCCGCGGTGAAGGCCGGAAAGGGCGGCGGCGGCGACGGTGGGAAGGGCTCCAGGTCGTCGGTGACCGGGCTCGAGGTCGAAGACGAAGAGAAGCCCGACGCAGCGCCGAAGCCCCCCGAGCCGCCGGCCGGCCGGCCGGACCCGAACCTCGGGCCGAACCGCGCGAGCTGGAGCAAGCTGCTCGACTCGAGAATGGACGAGCAGCGCACCCAGACGTGCGGGACGACGGCCCTCCTGATGGCCACCGTGACGGGCCTCGAGACAGCGGTCGGCAACCTGCTCCTGGCCGGAGCGGACCCTAACGTCCGAGGAAAGGACGGCCGGTCGCCGCTCATGTGCGCCCTCGCGCAGGGGATGGACGAGGCGGCGCACGGCCTCGTGGCGGCCGGGGCCGACGTGGACGCCGTCAACCACCTCGGCGACAACGTCCTGAAGTGCGCGTTCCTGTGCCCTTCGCGGCAGGCGATGCGAGACGTCATGCGGAAGGGCCCGGAGGCCGCCGGAGCAGAGGCGGTGCCGATGGCCCCTTCTTCCGGCTGGGCGGGCCCGCTCAGCTCCGCGAGCAGCAGCCGACGAGGCTCGACGGCGCCGTCGATCGACGGGTGGTCTGGCCGCGTCGGGCGAAGGAGATCCAATTCTCGCAGCGTGAGCCGCAGCCGTAGTCGCAGCCGCAGCAGGTCCGGGAGCCTCACGAGAGACCGCCGGAGGTCCTCGCTAGGCCGCTCCGTCTCGTTTGGCGAGGGCGCCTTCGGGTTCGACACGGCGGGGGGGGCAGCCTCAAGTGGTGGCAGCGGTGGTGGCCGGCGGCGAGTGTCGCGGATGGCGTCGCTGTCCGCCCTGGACTCCGCGCGCGCGGCGCTACACGACCTCGCGCCCCGGGAGTCCGCCCGTCCGCTCAAGACTCCGAGGGGGACCACTATCGTCCGGGGGGACGCGCGGATGGTTCCCTACATCCTGGGGTGCGGTGCCGACCCCAACGTCTCGAGCGCGAGCGGCGACTTCCCCTTGCACTGGGCGGTGAGCGGGACGGAGCTAACGGTGAAGATTATGAATCAAAGGGTAAAGATCGTCGCAGGAGGCACGGATGGCGGAGACGGTGTCGTCAGAGGGGAGGGCCATGGGAAAACAACAAGAGCGGATGTAGGCGAAGATAGTAGCAGCAATGGTAGCAACGCGAATCGGCCCGCGGCGGCCGCGGCAGGGGCAACAGTGGCGGGCGCGGCGGCGACTGAGCAAGGAGCTGCGGAACACGAACAAGACGTGGCGCTCCTGAAGGTACTGGTGGGAGCGGGTTCTGCCTTGGACGCGTGCAACCCCGACGGCATGACCGCGTTGCACGCCGCGGTTCTAGCGGGCCGCGGAACTCTCGCAGGGACTCTTCTCGACGCGGGCGCTAGCCCGAACTACTCGGACTCTCTCGGGTGTTTGCCGTTACACTACGCCTGCCTACGTGCCGTCGCCGGCTACGCTGATCTCGCAAACCGGTTGCTGGCTCTGGGGATGGGAAGGCCGCTCGACAAAGGCGTCCATCGGGACTTGCGCAAGGTAAGGGTAAAAGAGTGGTGGGTAAACACGGCAGCGGGGTAGCACCACCATTTCCAACCGTTCCACACTCTACGTAAGTAGAGACACGACCCGTCCTCCGGTTGTGGGTGCCTATCGATGAAGAATCAACGGTTTGGGAGCCACCGAGGCCTCCAAACCGTTTGTGCGCCCTATCTCCACTCTCCCGTTCCTTTCCTTGGGGAGTACCGGTACGTCAGTCCTTGACTCCACGATGCTTTTTGTCAAGTACTGCTGTAGCGGTGGTAGAAAAACATTCAACAACACTTAACCCTCTTAAAAATATTCTTTGGTACACATCAGCGTGCTCGCCTATGTATGTATCACCTACCGAAGAGCCTCCTCGCCGCGTAACCCCTCCGGACAATACGTGTACCAGGGCAAAACACGGCGAGAAAAACTCATTTTGGATGTGGCAGACATCATGCACAAAGGGCTGCGCGAGGCCACGGAGCCCTCCAGCATCACCCAGCATCGTGCGACACGCTCGGAGCTCCTCAACTTCGTGAGCGCCGAGGGGCTCACCCCGATACACTACGTCTGCGACGGCCGCATCGTCGGCCGGCACGCGGCCGCCGCCGTCCTGGCGCTCTGGGAAGAGCGGGCACCTCCCGCTACTGCCGCACCCGGAACAACAATTCTCAACGGTGGCGGTCCTGACAGCGGGGGCGGAGAAGGACGGGTAACAGTCGAAGACGGCTCTATCGACCGCGTCAAGACGCTGAGGTGGCTCTTGTCCGAATCCGAAGTGGACCCGACGGTGAGGCTGCCGCGCGGCGCGACGACGCTCCACTTGGCCTCGCGCACGCCGGGGTCGCAGGGGGCCGACCTCGTCCGCGTGCTCACGCATGCTGGCGGGGTGAGCCTCGACACTCTCGACTCGCCGGCTGGCGCCATGGTCGGGTTGACAGGACAGACAGCAAGCGCGAATGGCCCGAGTGATGCTGACGGCGGTTCGCCGCCGCTTCGGTTCTCGGCGTTGCACTACGCTCTCCAGGCGGGAGCGTGGGAGTCCGCTAGGCTTTTGCTCTCGGCGGGTGCACGTGTCAGGCCGGAGGGGAGCTTCCCTCCATGCCTTCACGTTGCCTGCCTTGCCGGCGCGCCAGCGTCACTGGTTAAGGCCCTTCTTGACGGGGACAGCCAGGCATCCAGCACCACCATCTTGCCCGCCGGGGCCGAGCCATACACAGCGAGCCCGCTGCTGCTCGCGGCGGCGTCTGGAAACGCGGACCTGGTTGAAATGCTGCTGTCGACAGCGGGCGGCATCGGTAGCATCGTCGAAGACCATACAGCAATGTTGGTCGGTACGGGCGGAGACGACGGGGTTCCACGCACGGCTAGCGCTGAAGGTTCAGAAAGCATCTGGACCATGGAGCACAGCCCTTCGGACGGACGCAATCCCCTTCACGCCGCCGCCGCCGAGGGGCACATGCTGGCGGCACTGGTTCTTGTCGACGCGGACGCAGACGCCACAAGGGATGGGTCCGCACCGCGCTCGTGGTTGAACACCCCGGACATTGAGGGGAACACCCCGCTCGATGTGGCCGTGTACGGGGGTCACTGGGAGTGCGCAGAGCGTCTGGCCGTGGCCGAACGGTTTGACATCAGGCTGGCGGTCGAGAGGGGCCCGTCGAGCTCCCTGATTGTTGTGGAGCGGGCGAACATGGCGATAGTTGACGAAGGATCGGGGGACCCGCAGACTCTGCGCGCTCTTCGGGAGAGCAACAAGCTCGTCATGGCGCTCCTGAAACGGCTGCACGACACCGCCGGGGAAACGGTGGCGGCGGCGGCGGCGGCGACCACCACTACGGCGACTGCCCCGACATGTGAACAAACGGACGGTGAAGCCGCCGTCACGGATGATGCTATCGATGACACCGCCGCCGGCGCTTCGCCCCCCTCTTCTGATCGGGGGCAGCCAGAGGATGAGGCCCAAACGCCGGCGATCCCCGCCCATGATGGTGCCGGCGCTGCGGCACAGCCGCTACCGTCACCACGACCGACGTCCTTCCCTGTCGTACACCACCTCCACCCGTGCTTCGCCGAGGGCGTGCTGTACTCCAACGCGAAGGGAATCTTCGTCCCAGAGACCCCGGAACGGACAAGGAGGCGGCGATCGTCCCGACAACAGGAGGAAGGGGATGCGCATGATCGAGCGGCGGTAGTCATACAGTCGAGGGCGCGCCAGGCGGGCGCGAAGCGAGCCGTCGCGGAGAGGAGAGCGGACATCATGGCGGCAGACAACAGACGGCGTGCGAGCAGCAGCAGCGGCGGCGTCGGCAGGCGCCGGTCATGGTCGGAAGCGACCGACCAGGAGAAGGCCGCCGTAATCATCCAAGCCCAGGCACGCCAGGCGCGAGCAAGGTCCGAAGCGGCACTCCGAAGAGAGCACCAACAACGGCGGAGAAGCAGCAAACGAGGTGGCGAAGTAGGGGCGGTTGTGGTCACACGGGTCCAGCCGCAGCAGCAACAGTAGTAGCAGGTTGAGCCATCAGGTGGAGAGAGGCCCACGAGGTTCGGGGGAGTTGAACAAAGATTGCCATGCAGAGGGGGGGGGGCATAAACCTAAACGACACCCAAAAATTCAAGGTCTCGAGTGCAGCACGTTCAGCCTTAAGGGGAGAAATGTGATGAACGGCCTTTGCATCACGGCGCTTCCAACCCTGCAGCGTTCTCAAAATTGAGCTACATACGAGCCACAAACACTCTTGCTGGTCCAAACGTGACGTGCTTTCAGCCCAGATGGTCACATGAAATGAAATCAGGCTGTTTCGTCAATCAGAAGCAGGCCTTCCCGCCCCTCGAGGTCGAAACTCGGCGCCCATGTGACCACCGAGCGTACGCTTCATGCGCAGAAAGGGCTCGCGCACCAACATTCAGCGCCAACAAACGCGCGTCGTTTCGTTCGGCCTCGAGGAATATGCTTTGCTGCCAGGTCGTTCGAGCACCGAAACATACCCGCCAAACAAGGGGGCAAAAGCCAACAAAGTGCTGAGACGAGCGTCCCCGCTCTATCGTCCCGGTCGCTCATCGCTCGGACACCCCGCCGACACCGAGTCGGTGCTGAGCCTGAGCCTGAGCGACGACCAAACCAAAGGTGGCCTTGAAGTCCAGGTGCGTGATTTGGAAAGGTCCTATCATACCCTAACACTTCTTTATCAAAAGGCGTTCAAGGAAAGCTTCGCGGCAAAACGAAAAACAGCGAGCGGTACATAGCAGCCAAGAGACTCAAAAAGCGGCAGCCAGGCACACAACACCTCTGTACTCCAGGGACTACCCGCGTCGTCTGTCCAAGACAGCAGCTCGCTTACATAAGCCGAGCAGATTCGAACAAGTCAAACTCAAACTCGAGGACCACCCACCCGCCCTTCACACAACAACAAAAAACAACTAGGCTGCAGAAGACCCAACAGCATGCCGCCGTGTGACGATAAACTGTCGCCAAATACGCATCAGCCAACGGGATAGAACCGCTCTCCCGCTCTTTAGTGTGGCGACCTCTCTCTCCACTGCCGTCGTTTACACCCTGCTCCGCTATCGCAATTTCCCGCCACCACCACCACCGCCATCAGCGAGACTCTCATCAACTGGGCCGCTGTAATGTAGTTTGAAGGAGCACATGCCGCCGTTGACGGTGCCCTCCAGTCCACCACGATCCCCCCCCCCCACCACCATCAATAACTAGCGTCACCGCTGTTAACCGTCGCTGTCATCAAACTTGACCGAGTAGCTGTTCATCGAGATCTCGCCGCCCCGGTAGCTGCCGCGCTTCTTCTTGGTCTTCTCGTGTCGGAAGTCTTTCCCTCGCACCTTCGACAGCTTCTCGCTCGCCTTGAACCCGTACCCGCCTTGCCCGAACGTGCCCTGGGCGAGTACGGAGGAGGTTTACAAACTTCAGGTGGTGGAGGGGCACTTCGATACGAGACTCGTGTCTTTTCGTTGGACAGACAGCAAAGGGCGGTCGATAGTACTTATGAGACATAGATACAATCTAAAGGAACCCCCCCCAGCACACATCTATCTTGTACGCCTCGCGTCTAGTAAGACCAACGCGCCTGTCAAGCAGCCAGACGGGCGGTGCCGTCCGCGCCACAGCATAAACGCGTGACGCATACACACCTCGTAGGTGTTGTAGAATCCATTCTTGAGCCCCCCCCCCCCCCCCCCCCCCCCCCCCCCCC